CCTGGATCTGAATTCTGTGTCATTTTAAATCAACCTGGGTGGATCTGCTTTAAAGCAACAGGACCCAGTGTTGCAGAAGTGGAGAGTATTTCACACGTCTAAAGAATTTTGTGGAAATGTTTCCACTCAGAAGATTAAAAAGGCCTCTTCCTACCTTCATGAATCCAGTTTGCAAGAATACAGAGGAGGCTCTATTCAGAGGAACTAAGATATTCTCTGATTAGCAAATAGCTACTCAAAAGGGCAGAGAAGGGAGGTGACATACAGCACAGGCAGGCCAGAGAACCCCCTGGGATTGACGCAACATGTAATACTTTCAAATGGGTTCTTAGTTACTTAATTTTGAGGGGAAGGAGTGGAGGAAAAGCTGATGCTTTTCATGCTTAGTTTCTGCCCATGACTCTGAGCACAGAGAACTGAGAAGTTTGGAGAAGCCAACGGTGGTTTTAAGTGACTTGCTTAAATAAATGAACTGGGTTTTCTAAGCGGAGGCTTCATAATTTCGAAGCACAAGCAGCAGCCACTGAAAACCCACCCTACAGAGAGAAGCAAGCTCACACTCAGCTCGAGGGATCTCCCTGCCCTGAGGAGAGTTCAGGATCACAAAGTAATTTCTTATCATCTAACCAGCTTCAGAGAGACTGGAGAGACCGGCTTATCTATGTGTTGGGATCAAACGCTCTAGATCTAGAGATGAGACGGGAGCAGATGCAGCAGGCACCTCTAGGCAGGGACAGTCTTCCTCGTTATCCACAGGGCCACTCCTCAAATGCCTAGGATATTCCAGTTCTTCATGCATAGCAAAATAACAAGGGCAAAGAAGAGACGAAACAGCAGGGTAGATGTTCATTTATTTATCTTGGAATTAGGGGATCTACCTAGGTCTAGCTCCATCGCACACTGGGAAATTTAAGGCCACCTGACGAAGTTGTTAGGAGCTACAGTGGGACCCTAGAACTGAGGCTGTGCTGCCAGAGCCGAGACTGAACTGCCTGGCAGCTTTCAGGCAGTTAGCCTGGCGGCCCTTCACAATCACCCAGCGCCTTCCAAGCAGACACACTTATGCCTCCCTCACAGTCTCTCTACATGTAACAGCACTAATTTTTCCCAATACAAGACATTTTCCAGAGCCTCTCTCACAGAGGAAGCTGCTAAATTACCCATCGTTTCACTTTGCAAACATCTTCTGCTTTGGTGACAAGTGAAACTACGTTCTAAAAACAACTGCAAGTTCCCTAGTACCCATGACTTCTCTTTTCTCTCTGAGATAGTCTTTTTAGTTAAATTGCAGACACACCCATCTCCAGCCCCAGCCAAAGAGCACCTTGCCACAGCTCGAGATTGTGCAGAGCAGTTCTCTTTTAGAGGCCCTAAGTACCGAACAGAAACGTCTTTCTTCCATTTATTTCTTTTTTTTTTTAATAATTTAATTTTATATGCATTAGTGTGAAGGTGTGAGATTCCTTGGAATTGGTGTTATAGACAATTGTGAGCTGCCATGTGGGTGCTGGGAATTGAACCCAGGTCCTTTGGAGGAGCAGACAGTGCTCTTAACCACTGAGCCATCTCTCCAGCCCCCTCTTCTATTTATTTCAAATGTACTAATGAACTCTGGATTCCATCATCACACAGAAAAGTAGATATCTGTAGCACAATTCAGGGGGACACAGCCAACTCTGTCCAACAGAAGAAAACTATCTTTACTTCTCCATATACGTATCCCTACCTGTCCTTCCTCTCGTGGTTTCACTGATGCTGAAGTCCCTGAATTTTTATTGGTAATGGCAATGTATGCTAGCATTTCTTGGTTACTAGTACATACTAAAATATGAATGAGATTTGGGGGCAAATAAAGGCAGCTTAGGAAATCTGTGCCTTCCAAAAATTTTGCTGTCAACTTAAAATTGTAGAAAAAAATTTACACACACACACACACACACACACACACACACACACACACACACACACTGAGTTCTTCAAATGGGAAACCCATGAAGACACAGAGAAAAGAATCTGTAATGGCAGAAATAGAGTTCAGAGTTACTAATGTTTTGGTTTAGGGAGAGTCTATTTCTCCCACAAGCAAAAGCCAGGCAAAGGCACTGGTACTAATAAAGATCCATGCTGATGGCATACAAGGGGTCAAGGCAGAACACCTGGCCTTCCAACCCTTGCATACCTGTCTCTTGCTCACTGCTAGACGCGCACGCTCTGGCTGGGGTTGTCAAGCCATTCAGGCTCGAGAACCATGCTTAGGAACTTGAAGGATGAAGATGTGCATGGCCTGTTACTCCTTACACGAAAACACTTAGCAGAAAGCACTGAGAAATGTTTAGGTGTAAGACACAGCTAGGTAATTGTTTAAACTAAGGGGACTTGTTTTAGCATTGCTTTGTCTGTATGTGTGTATGTGCTTCTGTATGATCAGCGCCCACAGAGGCCAGAAGAGGGCATTGGCATCAGATCCTTAGGAACTAGAGTTACAGATGATTCAAAACCACAATGTAGATGCTAGAAACTGAACCCAAGTCCTCTGGAAAGAGCAGTAAATGCTCTTAACTTCTGAGCCATCTCTCCAGCTCCCCATAATGGTTTTCCCATAGCAGCTACCATCTCATTTCTTTAGGCAGAAAATGGTTAGGAGACTCTCATCTCTAGCACAGTAAGCTGGCTCTCCACAGTAACGTCACAGGCATGACCCCTGGTGAACTTATAGTCATGCTGGAAGAGCTCCCTGAGGGAAAAGTTCCAGCTCTTGAAAATTATAGAGTTAGTGCTTACTCTATCTCTCATTCATTTTTAGAACAGCCCTGTAAGTAATGATCTAGTATTATTCTGGTGTTAAAGAGTAAATAAATAAACAAGAACACAAATCCAGGGGTAACTCAGCTAGAAAATGGTAGAGTTGGGCTTCTAACCAAAACTGTTACCCAAAAGCCTTGTGCACCCCCATGAAAAGCTATGTAGACAGCATCGAGACCATTAACATACAATGTATGTATCTGCACGTATAAACATGTCCATATACATATGTATGTATAAAAACATGTATAAATACATGATCTGAAAAAAAACCTCTTCCAGATGAGGCTGACAAGAGTCTCACTGAAACCACTGGAGATTAGGCACTGACTGCGGGACCCTTATTTCTCCTTATTGTCTTGTTTGAATTCATTACGATGGATGCATGCCCTCTATTTTAAAAGTTCCTTTTTATTGAAAAGAGAAATCTGAATGTTGTAGTAAGTCTAACAATCTAAAATTGATCGAATCATTTAAAAATTGTTAAGTGGAGAGAAGAAACGCCATCCTATAGAGGCCTGAGATAGCACATGGCAGGGGGCTGGGGAAGTCGCTTCCTTCAGTGTAGGAGACAGATTCAGCTCAGGGCTGTTTCAGCTGCTTTTTAAAGTCCCACGAGCACTAAAAGTGAAACCATCCTGCCTCCTTCCCCCATTTTCATTTTCAAAGTAAAACCCCCTAGTCCCTCTAGGTCTGGTGCCTCAAAGAGTGAAAGAATGAATGACCTCACTTCTTTCAATAGACAGACCTAACATTTTATGTACACAAACAGGAGAGAAAGCCCACACATGTTTTAACTGTCCTAGCAATGGTCATTGCTTTATGAATCTTAAGGCAATCTTTGCAAAGTAAAGAAGCTGATTGTGATGCTAAAAGCGTGCTTTGTAAATAATGTTGCATTCTACATACAGTGCCTACTTCCAGCCTGGAGTCATTCTGAATGCCATCTATGTATCTGGAGACAGTGGAGCAGAAGATCAGGGACAGCTCTGTAGAAGAAACCAACCAAAGGGAAGAAAGAGTCTGTTTAAGCTTGACCCAACAGCCTGGAAGACTTGGACATTGGAAGGGTCATTCAGAGTGAGCCGTGCCACCTTTCAGATGCAAATCCAGTCGTCCAGTAAAAAGGAGCTTCAGACACAAGCTAGCTGAGGCCCTTCTTTGATGTCTTTATCCTTCATATGCCCTGAACCAAAGAAACTTCAACAATGTGAGGACTACAACAGACCTTCAGGCCTCATCAGAGTGAGCTGGAACATGTGTCTGGCAGCAATATGTCAGCACTTAGAGATATGGGCAACTCGGCTACACGGAAACTGACAGTCTTCCGGGGCAGATAACCGAGAGACCACTAGGAGAAAGCAGAGAATGGGCTGGGAGGTGAGAAGAAACCAGCAGCGCTTGATGGCAGACAGAAGATGTTTTTGTATTTTACTCACACTGCACCTGGCACTGGAAACAACTGCACAAAATGTGGAGGTGAATGAACCATTGGATACAACTGGGCTTGACAAGATCCAGGAAACAGAGGCACTACGCCACAGGCATCATTACTGTTTGTGTAACCCAAGCGTGTCTGTGTGTCTGTGTGTGTGTGTGTGTGTGTGTGTGTGTGTGCGCGTGCGCGTGCGCGGGGGTGACTTTGTATGAGCTGAAGAAACTTAGGTCAGAACATCTTAAGTTTTTACAAACATAAGAAGCAAAAAACAAGCAAACAAACAAAAAACTGTGATACTTAATCCTAGCCTCTTGGTAGTTCAAGTTTCTCTCTGTCTTTCTCTGTATGTACATATGTTTAAATCATGTCAGTTTTAGCTTCTTTTTCTCCTCATAAAACGTTATACATTTTAGCTTTTTTTTTTTCCCCTTCAAGACATGCTAAAGTGCTGAGTCACTCAAAAAAAAAAAAAAAAAAAAAAAAGAAAGAGAGAGTGCTCATGCTTCTTAGGGTTAGCCTCAGGATGACTTAAGTATATTTCCCCCCTAGTTGTGATTCTTTCGATGCTAACAGACGTCACATTGTGCAATCTTAATAAGGTTTCCAATCAGCCCCACCCACTCTGGCCCCACCCCCCCACCCTCCAACAAAGATTTTTATCAAATGTGGGATTTTCCCATGAGTCTCAAAATTAGAGAGTCGACTCCCGATAAATATGAGACTGAGGATGTCGGTAGCTCATTCTGCTCTCGAGCCCACCAGGAACGAAAGACAACTCCATCAGCCCTCCAGGAACAGCTATGAAGTTCCTCTCCGCAAGTAAGTGAAGGCAGTTCCTCGCCCTCTGGTGGAGCAATTGAGACTGCGTGAGAGAGGAACGTGGGGCTGGGAGCGAGCCTGCGGGCTGGCCAGCAGCCAGCAGCAGGCTCCCAGCTGTGCTCTTTGCTCACTCGCTGCTTTGCCTTCCCTTCACACAGGAGACTTCCAAGCACTTGCCTTCTTGGGGCTGATGGTGGTGATGGCCACTGCCTTCCCTACTTTACAAGTCCGGAGAGGAGACTTCACAGAGGATACCACCCCCAACAGACCAGTCTATACCACTTCACAACAAGTCAGAGGCCTGATTGCATATGTTCTCAATGAAATCTTGGAAACGAGAAAAGAGGTAGGTAGGCTGTAAAAGCAATGAAGGCCCACTGTGGGCATCCATTCATTCTCTTTGCTCCCGAATTGGGAATTCTCTGCTGGGTTCTAGGGACCTTAGGATTTGAGGCTAAAGATCAGACTAGATCGTTTTCTATTTTTTTCTCTTTGTTGTTCTCAGGGGGTTCCTTTCTTGTCTGGAAAATACATAATATTGCTACGTTTCTAAAAAAATTCACAGTGGGCCATTTTCAGCTCCACATTTAGCCATTGCTTCCATTCCCCTTACCAAAGAGTAAGGTCTTTTCACCTTCATTTGTCCCTTGAACTCTATAGAAGGGTCAGAAAATGCCGCTGGAAGTGAATCTTCAGCTGCTTGTAGCAGTTGCAGTGCTTTTTGGTTGAATGTAAGCTGTGTGATCAGGTCTTTCCAGAGTCAACCCAACTAAGATGCATACTTTACAGAGCCCCAGCCCCTGCCCACCCAAAAAAAGTGCTAAAAGAAAAACTAGAGCAGGTTGGGCATGATGGTGCATGTCTCTAATCTTAGCACATGGGAGGTAAAGACAGGAACATTTCTGTGAGTTAGAGGCCAGCCTGGTCTAAATATCAAGTTCCAGAACAGCCAGGAATACATTGAGAGACCCTTTATCAAAACAAAAATAAAAACAATGGAACAGACCAACCAACCTACCTAGATTAAAGCATCTCTTATCTTTAAATGCAAATTACTTTGACTATGCTTGATAGAAAAAAAATCACAAGTGAGATTAAGAGCCCATAATATCTAAGTCTCAGTATGTAGAACCAGCTTTGCAATCTTGGAAATTTTTCCTACTATTTGGGACTACTGTCTGCGAAATTGTGGAATAACAGATGATGGCACAGACCAGTCCAGATGGAATATTTTGTGATTTAAATTTATTTGCCCCAAATTATCAATATTTTTGTCATTTACTGAGTTCTACTATGTACCTGACAGTTTATATTATCTAATCCTTAAAACAAATGTATAAAGGGGGCTTAAATAATTCCTTATTTGAAGAGAGGAATCAGACTCTGAGGAGCAGCAGGCCTGAAGCCAGAGTAGAACCTGGGACTGAGCTCAAGGTGCCTTTCGGTTAGCTTGCTTAGTAGGGTGCCAAGAAGGTGTAGCTTTCTTTTCCTGTATGTGGAAGAGCACGAATTGGCCCTCTAGTGGTGTTTGTTTTAGGGGCACATTACATTATGGTACTCTTTTGCAGTTGTGTAATGACAATCCTGATTGTCTGAACAATGAAAATGCATTGTCAGAAAACAATCTGAAACTTCCAGAGATACAGAGAGATGATGGATGCTTCCATACTGGATACAATCGGGTAAGAACTTGTCACATTTACTTTCAGCAATTCTTCAGCTAAAGTCCTCTCTTGCTTGTGGTTTGTGGGTACATACAGTCCTAATCAGGCAGCAAAGATGGGGGAGTAGATATAAAAATATTATGTAAAAATCACGGGGAAAATAACTTAAAGCTTTGATTAAAAAGCAATTTTTCTCTGGACAGGTAAAGTCCCAATCTCTTGGGATTCTTCAGTGCTGTTAAATATTAGAAATCATAGCAATTTTAGCTGGTTCTTCTCTAGTACAGTGGTTCAGGAAACATTTTCTTCTCTGGCTGCCCCTGGAAGGATCCAAGCCCACTCTCCCTACTGAGAACAGACTCCACACCCCTCTCCTTCTAACTAGTAAGATGACCTGCATGGATTAGTTTTTAAAAGCAGGTATAGAGCCAGCCTACAAGAGCAAGAATATGAGAAGGGTACTGGGGCAGAGGTGGGGAGATCAGAATAGCATCCCCATTGCCACACTCTTGGGGGGAGATAAAGTGGGGACTCTAGTTGTCCAGATATTTAAATGAGGTCAGCTGACAGAGAAGCAGAGGGAGAAGGTGCTGGACAGCAGGACTCTTATTCTCACATTGAGTCTGTCTCCTAGAAGGAACTGATTTCTCCTTCCATTCGACTCATAGGACGTTTGCCTATTGAAAATCACCTCTGGTCTTCTGGAGTACCAGACATATCTGGAGTATGTGAAGAACAATTTACAAGATAACAAGAAAGACAAAGCCAGAGCCATTCAGAGCAACACCAAAACCCTAGTTCACATCTTCAAACAAGAGGTGAGTATTTCCCCATCTCCCATGTGGTGTGAGGAAGGGATTCTCAGGGAAAGCACCCGGCACCTCAGGGCTGCAGCACTGCTCCCAGAGAGCTGCTCAGAGGGGAGAAGCTTTGAGCAAAAGTTCCTGATTGTAAGACCTTGTTTCGTTTCACTTTGGTGCTTTGGTTTGGCTCTCTTTTGCAAAGAATATTAAAACCTACTTTAAACTGTACTAAATAGATTTTAACTGATTGCTTAAGAGATAAGAAAACTGTAACAGACCAAAGGAAGAGCACAGAGCACAAAAGTGATATTCTTGTTACCGGAGACCTACTGCAGAGAAGTGGCCAAAGGCTAAAAATCAGGGAAAGAAGGGATTATGGGCTCTGGTCACCACCAGCTACTAAGTGGTAGGTATGGAAGGTTGATAGCTTGGACTGTGGATGAGCCAAGCCAGATGCAATAAGAAGGGCCTGGAGTGAAACTCTGATGCTAAATCTGCTTCTGCCACTTGTAGTTTCTCACACAGGATTAATGTTTATTGTGCACAGGATTCACCTGGGGTCTTGTTCCAGCAGAGGCTAGGGAGAGAACTGAGATTCACTTTTGTAAACGGCTGCTTGGCTATGGCCATTTTGTAGTCCTTTAGGCTCATGGGCTATGGGACAAGCCTTCTAGTTGGGCATCCCCATGCCAGTGCATCCGTGGAAAGCGTTTCCAGCATTCTTGATGCTACCAATCTAAGAGACTCTCATGAGACTCTAAATGGAAGGTGAGAGAGAAATCACCTTATTGAGAGCCCTCTAAACCACCTTTACTGTTGGGATCGTCTGTCAGGCAGCAGTACTGTATGTCAGCACTGTTTTGACTAACAGATGAAAGATGGTCTGACCTCTGGATGCTCACTCTCTAATGGCAGACAGAATAGTAAGTGGGGAAGTTAGGATTCTGTTGCTATTGAAAAACTAATAATAATCACCTTGGGGTGGCCGGGGAAGAATGTAATTGCTATGCATGGGTCCCTTTCAGGGAGCACTTGGAGCAAAAGAGCCTCCCCTAGCTTGAGTGAGTCAGGGCATGTGGACCTAATCAGTCTCATCCATCCTTAATTTGAACATCTTCTCACAGACCAGAGCACTCCACAACAAAAAAATGTGTGAAATATTTAACCAGGCTTTCTTTTTTCCTCCTTTAGGTGAAGGATTCAGGTAAAATAGTCTTTCCTGATCCAACTTCCAAGGCTCTCCTACTGGAGAAACTGGAATCACAGACGGAATGGCTGAGGACCAAGACCACCCAGCTCATCCTGACAGCACTTGAAGAATTCCTAAAGGTCACCAAGAGGTTTGCTTTGCAAAACTAGTGTGCTATGCCTAAGTGTACCAAGCTGAGGACCTTCCTCATCGGAGTCAGAAAACATATCCTGTCACTGGGTATCTGCCTTATGTTGTTCTCTACGAAGAACTGACAGTATGAATGTTGGGACACTATTTTAATTATTTTTAATTTATTGATAATTTAAATATGTAAACTGTAACTTAATTTATGATTGATATTTATAATTTTTATGAAGTGTCACTTGAAATATTATATGTAAAAGTTTTTAAATGATAATATAAAACCTATTTGATCTGAATATTTTGTTACATAGCCAGACTGTTTCTTGCAATGTATAAGTTTACCTCAATAAATTGCTAATTTATATATGTTTTTAAAGAAACATTTGTGTTGTCCTTTTATAATGTTTAGACTGTCTTCATACAGAGAAATCACATCATATTAAAAAATCAGGGACTGAAAGCTACAGCTCAGCTGGTAAAGAACTTCCCAGGATAAGCCAGGCTCTATGTTGGATCTGAGCACACGCACACACAAAAAGAACAGTTTTTAGGGTATTTAACAGCATCTTGCTAGGAAGCTTGAGTAACAGCAGATGACAAATATTGCCTCTTGACCTGCCCAGATGTAACTGCCATGGAGTTATAACATTTACAGTCGCGCTTATTGGATCCCAATGTAATTAATGCATAAGCCCCCTTTCCTTTATCAGAAAGCTTGTTTAGTCTGGCTCAGCCTTTGCCTGCTGATTGGCACACCCTTCCTGATCCCAAACAGGTGTTCTTTATTCAGATGTGAACCTTATTTATGATTTCTTGATTTGCAAATCTCAATATAAACAAATTTCTGTTAGCATCAATACAGACAAAACAAAAACCAACCAAACCAAAAAACCCTTAAATTGCCTCATGTCAGGTGCCATGATCATACATGGCATCCACCTCATTAGCTAATTTCAGCACTTGTTCATTATTTTCTGAACATGAATGAGTGATTGGCTTAATTAATCCAGCCTTCTGAAACAGAAAACACGATCCCTGATTTGAAATCCAAGTCTACCTGCCTCCAGGTCTATACTTAACTTTTGGTTGTCATTGAAAGATAAAGAAAAATCTCAAAACATTATAATAGAGAATATACACTTAAAGTTGAAATCACAGACTCTGAGGCCATCTGTCAACTTACATTAGGTATAACAATTTACCAGCTTCCATATAAGAGCTAGAAGTTTTGCCTCCCTCCTCTGGAATCTCCATGCATTGCACACACACAGGCATGCTCTGTACATACCAGTGTCTGCCATGATGCATCACACCTTAAAACTGAAGGCATTTTCTCAAGAAAGCAGACTCTAGTGTGTCTACCTTTTCATGGTGGACCCCTGGCCAAGAGCCTGAGCAAGGGAGACCCCGGAAGTATTTGCTGAATGAAGAGAGAATACTTAGTTAATCACTCTATAATGCAAGTTAGTTCTCGGTGAATAGAGAGTATTTGCTGGATGCTGTGCTGATGTGCCATTGTCTTAAAGAAAAATAGAAAAGAATGTAAATGAAGCATTCTAAGGACTTATAAACACAGCAATGAATAGTCAAAGGATGAAATACACCTTCATTTCCTTTCTCACGAACATTAATCTTCACTTCTGTCCTTTCAGTTCTCATCAGGATTGGTGGTAAGCCAGGTGTGGTGGCCTATACTAATAATCTCAGATACAAGAGTATTGTGGGTTTTAGAGCAGACCAGTGTGTATAGGTAGACCTGGTCTCAACCTTACCCCAACTCTCTCTTTTTCTGACACACACACACACACACACACACACACACACACACACACACACACACACACACA